CCTGCTGATGGGGCAGACAATGGGCCTAGGGCAGGTCCAGGCGTACTGGAAAGGGGTGCAGACACCAGGGGGGCAGGTGAGGGGGAGGGGAGGGGTGATGGGGCATGGACAGAGGACAGGGGAGAAGTGCCAGCCCCAGAGGGACCCACTGTGGGTTGGAGGGCACTAGGATTGGTGGCAGGAGCAGACCCAGGAGAGGCAGGGAAGGAGGGCAAAGCAGAAGGGGAGCTGATGTGAGGGTGAGGTGATCCCGCTGCAGTAACAGGGCCTCCCAAACTCCCCCCCCCGGAAACAACCCTGCCGACCTGCGGCTTACTCACCCGACCGGAGGTCACCGGAGCCGCCATCCGTGAGGATCTCGTCGATGGAAACCTGCTGAAAGCCGGTCTCGCGGCCGCCCTCCGCAAAGCCCGCGAGACCGGCTGGGGAGATGAGAGTGAGGCAGCGTGGGCCGCATCCGACCGGCGCGCGGCCACCTGCCGGCCTCCCCGGGGAGGAAGTGCCGGGAGTGGGAGAGACCTCGGCGGCCGCGACCACGTGGGAACTGGTGCGCGGCCCGGCCACAGGGCTCCTGCTCCTGCCCCTCACCCGACCCTCCCGCGAGGGGCTATACCGGGTGGGGGGGGCGTGCACGGCGGCGCTGGACGCTGGGGCTGGTGAGAGGGGGAGCAGCCGACCCAGAAGCACCCTGCAGCCGCGCCAACTGTGACTGCAGGTGACGTCCTCCATCCTGAAGGGCCTCAGCCCTGAGAGCAGACAAAATTGATTCTATGTCCATGCCCTGGCCGTGAGACAAGCAGTGGTAACAGGCAGCAAGGAAGAGGAAGATGTTACCAGCCGTTATTCTAAGATGGCTGAGGTAAGGGACAAAATGACTGCCCTTTTATATGACCCCACCCCACCCCTAACCTAAGTGACACCCCCCCCACATGTGACACCTACACCCACCACACCCACACATGCCTCCTATCCGGCTAGCTTTTAGCCCGCCTCCTCTGGGCATTCACATTGAGCTCCATTGGGAAATTTGTGATTGGACAGCCACAGAAAGTCTTCAGACAAGAGATCTGCAGTTTTTGCAAATTGTTTTTAGATACATAATAAAAAATGCAATTAAACACATGCATGCTTTCATTGGGGATATGGCTACTAAACAGTAATAAGGCAGTGGAGTGTCACTTTATTTACAAACTATAAAGAAAGGGGATGTGAAAATTGTTTCAGAATGGGTTAAATCTAGCGGACATGAAACTAACAGATTATTTAAAACATACCTAAAATATTAATAAATGCAAATAAATATTTTATTCAACATCAGTGTGTGCTGATCTGTTCTTATTGCTATTATTTATTCATAACATAGTGTCATCCAATCGATCATTGTAGATAACCTATATTTTATGATTTATGTTTGTTTTACAGTTTTTTTTCTAAAGTTCGTTAGTGAATAACCTTTCTTTTCAATGCAACAGGTGGTGAAATTTACAAAATCGTTTGAGCTTCTGTCCCCAAAATGCAGTGCTGATGCTGAGAGCAGGTATGTTTTTTTTTTGATAGGTCTAAATGAATTATTGCCCTGAATAAATTATTTAACAATGGCTTAACATGTTCTTTTGTCTCTCGAGTTGAAAAGCTGCTTTTGAATTATTAATACACAGTTAATATCATATGTTGCAGTAGTGTTCATTGTTCTTTATAGGACTTTTAAATAAATAAACAAGGTCGTAATTCTGAAATGATCCATTCAGACCCTGTTAATATCAGCCATTGGTCATACAATCATTTCAGAGCACTAGCTATTTCAAAGGAACACAAGAACATTTAATTCTATAGATCTTACTGTTAAGAGCCACTTTGCTGGTGATAATTACATTTACGTTAATCTCTGTCTTAGAGCCAGCAATGATGCTCACGCACAGTAGTGAGAATAGAGAGAGGTCATGCAAATAGCAGGTTTGCAATGCCCTACATGAAGTCTAAAACAGATTACGTGGCAATGGAAAGGGAAACTTGACTTCTGGTAATAGGTCAATCAACATATTTAGCTCCAGGCTTCAGAAGCCCTTGATCCAGTACTTTATAGGTTAGTGAATAACCCTACATCATTATGTCAATCTTTCCTTTGTTGAGAGTGATGTGAAAGAGCAGGGAAAGGCAACCTCCAGATGTTGTGAACTGCATCTCCCCTGATGCTTTGCCAGCATTATGACTATATGAACATTATGGTAGATGTATCCATAATATATGGAGTTCTAAAGGTTGCCTGCCACACACACACACACACACACACACACACAAGAATGGCAGTAAACTATTAAGCAAACATCTTCTTTTCTATAGTTGGTAAATTGGTAAAATGGCTTATGAACAGATATATAACACTAGGTTGGTGCTAGTTGATGAACATTATAAAACATTAAAAGACCTATTTAATGAGGCAAGACAAACATTTTAAAAATGTTACAAATAATCAAAAACACTCATAGTGAAGCTCACTGTGCAGAGCAATCAGCACTGGCCACGAATAATGGAAAATCAGGCTATTCCTACATTTAAAAATTACTCACAGGCAAAACAACACCCCAGTAGGGCACACAGATTCAATGGAGTTTGAAGAAGGAGCCACCCCGCCAACCACATTCTCATAGTATCTAGATCTACAAACGATTGAGAGTTATATGCATGTGCTGCAGCCAAAGTGAGACAGAAACCTTTAAAAAAATTTTTTTTTAAAGTAAGTAACCCTTACTAGTGTTTGGTTGGAGATGTAGAGTTGCAAAATCGGTGCCTGATTTAAAATGTCCAGATTATTAATGAGCATTATGGTATAGGTAACTGGTCCTCCTAGTACCTCAGTTGCTGTGGCCTTCATAATAGGAAGCCAACTGCAGAGTGACAAATGGCATGTGTGCATTCCAGGCTAGTCAGTCTTTTTGACTCAAGTCATTCCATGAAAAATACATTTTATTTTTACATGTGTGAGTTGGTCCATCGCCTCAGTGAGGCCAGACTAAATTTTGACAGTATCAACTGTCCGCAATAATAATATATGGTACTGTAAAAGGCCTGTACTGGGCAGTACATCTAAAATATAAACCAATGCACTAAAAAATGATTAGTCAAAGAAACTTAGTTATTGATGACCATCATTTGACGATTTATTTCGAGTGAGCTAATACACAATTTGTGCAAACAAATTGGCTTTGCTTCTCATCTCACTAGATGTTTCTAAATATCCCCGCTTTTAGATAGGAAACAGACAGACGAGCTGCACCAGTCCACTTTCGTGTGCTGTTAAAAAATGCTCTTCAATCATTTATTTTTGTGTTTTTTGTGGTTTTTTTTCTCTTCAACCATTTTGGTTTGGGCCGGTACCTACTGTCAATTAGCCTGTTGCTACTTTCTCATAATGAACCCTACTTACCTTCCACCACCTCCCAAGTTGCCCGAGTCAGGACTAAACCCTGCATACAGCAAGCCCAATTCCCCCCTCCCCCCACCACTCCTCCCGGCAACACAACAGGGAATCCATGGTTAACTTTCCTTTTTTTGACAACCCGGGAGGAAGGTAACTCCCCACGGGGATATAGTGCACCTAGTTGTCAAACCTCACCTACTGTGCCACTTATGTTCCCATAGGCAAATATTTAAATGGTCCATGCTCTCCATTTTTCTATGTTTCCCTTTTGTTTTAAAAATTAAAAATTCTCATTTCACATTACTCCCTCACATTGCTTGACAAATTGTGTCTGGTTGTATTCTTGATATCAGTGCCTTACATTTATGAGGATTAATCAAAAATAAAGAAATTTTTAAATGTTCTTTGTCTATAAATAGATTTTTTCTTTTCAGACATGAAGTTAATAGCAAAATTCAGTTATTTAATATGTGTTTTAACTTTGCTAAATATTTTCAGCTAGAATTTCCCATGAGCTATCTAATGAGAGACATAGAGTCATTTACTTTCTGTTCGCTGTGTATAATATTAGTGATCCTTTTTTAAAATGAATAGAATGTTATCAATAAAAATAATGTCTATAAATAATAAAGCTAAAGCCCAACTGTAGAACGAGACCTATTTCAAAGAATAGTTATTATGAGACTATCTGTGCAATCATAGCAAGATAGTTCATCTGTAAAAAATAATGTACTTGCTTCGGATGAAAACTTAATTTGTGAAGTAGACTTGGGGAATGGTATGGATTTGTTGTAATTAGAAAACTGGTTAAAACAGAAGAGAGATGGTGACTGTTAATAGCAGATTTTGTATTTGGATATATGTTTAGCAGTAAAAACTCTGAAAGCCCTTAGTGAAATTACCATAATTGGGACCCAGTATATCATCCAGGTAAGATGTGAAACAAGAAGAAAGACTATAAGGAAATAATCATGGCATCCAACAAGGCATGGTGTGTGTGTCATTTGGGGTTGGCAACTGTGTATATATTACCATGTTACCGAGACCTTTGTCCTTGATACTAGAAGTGTTGCTCTATTTAATGTTATATATCTATTATATATATATATGTACCTGTATATTTTCTGGCCATTTGGTGAGGACAATGCATATCTACAAACATTTAGAGGAATAAATGCAGGGCCGATGGTTGGGCAGGCCACAAGGGTGCATGCCACGATGGTATAAGGGGCAGACATGTCTTAACAAATGGGGGGTATCAGTTGGGCACGCCAAATTAAGAGGCAGCTCCAACGTCAATCACAGTAAAGGCTGTGCATGGGCAGATCCTACTGAAGTGCCCTCGCAGGTTCTAAATACCCTGAGCAGAATTTGTGGGCACCAGCACTTCCAATGATACATTACCACCGCATTTACTGGCGATATTTCTTTGGTGTACCCATTCTGAATTCCTGACAATTCTCACTTTAGTGAATATCTCCGCATGATTTTGGTAAATCCTATGTAAAGAATGATCTGGGAGATTTTTTTCATGATAGCCTCTGTGTGTAATCTTGAGTGTCTTCTGCTAAATCATTCAAATAAATAAAGCCCCAGCACTCGGTAGTTTTCAGGTACAATGTGTAAAACACATTGTCAGCCTGAATAAAACACACATTGCGCCTGAAAGCTACCAAGTGGTGGAGCTTTATTTCTTGGAATTACTTTTAGATCCTTGGAGCAGGGACCTTTAAACACTGCACAAGTACCAAAAATCATGGAGCTTGAATGATGCCTCTCCTGCGTACTTAGTTTTTGCTAAATTATTCAAGCTATTAACATTATCAAAAGAATACTTGTATGGAGTCACAAGATTAAATTTCTATTATAAGTCATTCATTATCAATTACTTTGAATAGGTAGTATAATTTTTGGCACCAGCTCACAAGAAGGGAATAATGAAACTGAATGGAATTCATGAAAGGACTACAACATTAATTAAAATAATGGAACTTTTAGCTAAGAGCTTACCTAGTCTGGAAAAAAATAAAAATAATTTCTTTGATGGGATAGGCTTACCTACACTCAAATATACTTAAAGGAACACTGTCAGGTTCCCGGCCCTTGTCCACCTGTTCTCTGCCATTTACACAGCCATTGGTCAGGAACACGCACATCCTGCTTTCATTATGTCCTGCTTCCCACTGCTTTAGCTGTAGAAGATGGCTGATAGGGGGAGGGGGATCTTCATTAGTTCTTGCACCAGCAGGGCTTTTAGTGGGACAGTCCTGATTTTGTTGTCCTGTCCCTCCATCCTGATTTAGTTCCCTGATGTCCTGCATTCATAGTCACCAGGGAGATGTTCATGGGCAGCACAGAGGGTGTGCGTCATTAGAAACACTTCTGGTATGCTGCAGGCACTAGGGCCATGCAGACAGCGCTTCAGCAGCACTTTCTATGTGGCCCTGCATATAGGAAGATGGCCGTGATGCTGTCTGTCAGTCTGAGGGGCTTGGTACCAGGCATACATGTCCCCTTCACTAGTCTCTGTTATCCTTTATATCACTATAATTGGGTTAAAACATATTTTAGACCTAAAAGGAAGCCATTTTTAGATGGTGTGGAATTGAGAAGTTTTTCCACTTAATTCTTCATAGAATGCTCAAAAACAGTTTCACTGCTAATAATAATTATAAAATACGTGTTTTTTTTTTGGCCCTGAAGCTTTTGAAGCTCTGCTATGCATAAATTGACCCCTAACAAGCCACGTCTTGCTAGTAACAACAAAATGCCCCAATGAAGTTCAATTATAATGGAGGCTAACAAAGTTCTTTGTTCGTAAAATTGCAGCTTGCCCCATTTATATATCATAGGAACAGATATTTAATTCTGCACCTTTAATGATTTAATGAGCTGTAAGTATATTCTCTATGACCTAAGTTGAAATGCTTTGAGAAACTTTTTTCATGACACCCATGAAATGCAAGGGTTCATTGATTTAATTTTGCAAGCTGTAAAAGGGCTAATAAAATATTTACTAATATTTTTGTGCAGTCATCATGTTAGATAAATAAGATGTCATACTTTACATTTTGGAAAGATATGTGCTTCAACAGATAAAGCAGATTTCATGAATGATGCATCCAGTACCGTACAGTAAATAAATAAATACCTATTCAGAACATTTTACTGATGTTACACTTTTGTCAATTTGAATGACATAACTCATATTATTTTGAATATCTTTGTAAACAACAAAACTAAGAAAAACACCTCTCTGTCCAAATACTTATTTAGCCTCTTAGGTACAAAGCACTTTGTCTTTGAAAAACATTAGCAGATCTTTAAATTGAAACATGGGATGCATAGCAAGCATGGAAACATTTTATGCATAGATTACTTTTTAGCTTTAAAAAATAAATACTTTTGTATCATGTAATTTTGCATTTCTTTTTCATTTATTTGTTCATTGTTTATAGAGATATTAGGGCAATTAAAGTTGTAGACAGTATAAAGTATCTCCTATCTTGCAATGTTTCATTCAGGGGATAAAATATTAGTATACAAGCAAAAATACGATACAATACACAAACGGTAGGTGAGACAAAAATAAAGAAATGCATTTTTTTGCTTAGGGTATTTGTAATGACCCAGAAGGCAGCACAGTTTAATAAAAATTGCACCAGAATGTGAAAAGAGTGTCAGCATATGAGAATAATGCACGCATATAGAAAGTACAGTTAAATTATACATTTAAAAAAAAAAATCTTTAAAAATTGTTGTAGAAATCTGCATTAATATCTTGATTATGCTAATAAGGGTGGGACAGATATGAGTCACTCCTCCCCATCCCTAAGTGTAGGAATGGTATGAGCTTTTGAAACTTCCTTTACAATTTTAAGACAGAAGTGTGATTTATAGACCATGTGTAGTCATTAAATGGGTGAAATGCGTTCCAGTGAAATTCACTCTTCATTGAGAATATATGAAGGTAAATGAGGCTTTAGAGACTGCATTTAATTTTACAAAACAAATTAAAGTAAATACATGTCTGGACCCGGATCCAACAAACTAGTAAGGGCACATTTCTACAGAGGATGTAAGAGCTGAAAGATTGGTAGGGATATTATTTGTCCTTAGATGTAAGGAAAACATCTCCAGAAAAAGAGAGCTGTGGACAGAAACAAGCCTGCATCAGGGGCCTCAGAGATCACACTAAACATAGTGTGACATAGTTATGCCAAACTAATAGAAATCAAAATAATCAATATATAAAAAGCCAATTGTAATAACGATATGAACAGATAAAGAGACAGCAATATGGCAATAAGTGAAAAAAGAAACCAGATTGAAAGAATTCTGTTTGACTTACATCATCACCTGGAATCAGAAAAATTTTCCCAAACGATGTGTGTGCTGATACACTGTCAATGCAAGTGCTATAAGGGAAGATGGATAGGTGGCAACATATAATTCACAGAGACATTTTATTTTTGATTTTAATGACATTTTCCTCAAACAGATATTCACATACATACAATATAGGGTGGAGTATCTTCTTGTTTAAAGCAAATGTTGATATTACCTAAAAGTAGAACAAATAAGAACACATAATAGTGCAATATTGTCTGAATCACAAATGGAATGAGAAAGAAATGTGTGAAAATACACTCACAAAACAAGAGCCTATATACTAAGGCTCAATCTTCCAGCGTTGTGGGATTAAGGATCCCACTACCTTCTTTATACTGCCAGGGGGTAGTAATTAATCCAATGTCCTCTCGCAGATAGATATAAGTAGTAAAGGTGCTTTAATAATAAAGTGCACAAATAAAGTAAAAAACAAGACCTTACAATTGAAGGTGACCTTGTTGAAATAGTCTCTGACTGCAAAACGCGTTTCGCCTCATGTAGAGGCTTCCTCAGTTGCTCTAGTTGCTTGTTGTCAATGTTCTGTATTTATATCATGTATTTTGCGCCCTTTTTTTCTTATTCGCGGCACTTCCACTTCCGCCTTCCATCAGTGGAACGCATTAGTTCAATCACTTCCGGTTTCGGCTTTTGCGTTCCATCGGTGGAACGCATGCGTCCTTGTTCCGGTTTTCATACATTGGGACGTGTCTATGCGTTCCAATTTGCTTCATTAGTTAAAGGGAGTCCATTAATGTATAAAATCATTGGCATTATATAAAAATATCTCAAAAGGAGAATACAAGTAAAAAGCAAGGTACCGTATTTATCGGCGTATAACACGCACTTTTTCTCCCTGAAAATAGGGGAGAAATCGTGGGTGCTTGTTATACGCCGGCCCTTTAAATTCTGCAGCCGCCTGAGCGCTCAAGCGCTCGAAACGCTCTTCCCTTCCCTGCTTGCGTGAGCGGCGCTCTACGTCGCGGTAACGGCGGGGCGATAGGAAGGTACGTAGTACAATGTCCCGACCAATTTGAAAAACTTTCCCTGTTCGCTGAGAACGAGTTTTCTGACGCTGAGCCGACGGCAGGAAAAGGTACACTGACCCTCATCCGGCTCTGAAAGGGTAGAGGGGAAGGGGTAAAAAAGAGAGAGAGAAGGGGTAGAGGTAGAAAGAGTAGAAAGAGTAGAGAGGGAAATAGAAAGAGAGTAGAGAGAGAGTAGAAAGAAGAGGAAGTAGAAAAGAGTAGAAGGAGGAGGTAGAAAGAGGAGGGTAGAAAGAGGTAGAGGAAATAGAAAGAAGGGGAGAGAGGGAAGTAGAAAGAGGTAGGGAGGAAATAGAAAGAGGGGAAGGAGGAAAAAGGTAAGAAGAGGGAGGGGGTAAGAAGAGGTGAGAAGTTCTTTTATTTTAAATTTGGGACCACTCTGAGCACCAGACCACTTCAGCTTAATGGTGATGTCACAGGGTGCCAGGTCTAGGATTAACTTACTTTTTTATAAACATACTTAGCAGTTTCAGAGAAACTGCTATGTTTACGAGGTATCAGCCTCCAGAAAACACTGGTGGCTGTCTCATTGACAGCCACTGAAGCACTTATACCTACTCACTGTGAAATCACAGTGAGGAAACGCGCGTCGCCAGAAGCGATACTTTTCCTATGAGACCAGCGAATAGCAGCGGCGTGTGCATTCAGCGGCGATGGCGTCGCGGCAGGAGGAGAGAGGAGTACAGCTCCCAGCGGCTGGAAAGGTAGTGTTTAACCCCCTTCACTCTCTCAGAAACCCGGCGGGGAGAAGTCGAGGGTGTATAACACGCACCTCATTTTAAGAAGGAAATTTCAGGGGAAAAAAACTTAAAGGACCACTATAGTGCCAGGAAAACATACTTGTTTTCCTGGCACTATAGTGGTCCTTTAAGTTTTTTTTCCCTGAAATTTCCTTCTTAAAGTGAGGTGCGTGTTATACGCCGATAAATACGGTATATAAAAATCATGCAAATGACTTTACTTAATAAAGGAGACTTCTAACATCATAAATATATTACATAAATCCTATTCTTACATAAAGCAAGAAAAAAGTAAATAAGTATGAATTGATGATATATAAAACACAAAATGCAGAAAAGCAAGACAGACCCTGGATAGGATCTGATGGTAAAATATATTTCTTTATATATTGTAAACATATAAGTGCATGGAAATTATGCTAAAAGCATATTATTTTATAATTTTCTGATTTATGATATTAAAAATATAAAAATATAAAAATATAGGTACATTAAAAATGGCAAACTCCAAGGC